TTTTCTACCAAGCTAACGTTCTCAACAGAAAGCCAAATTTTGACTGGAGCTACAGTTCATTTGATGGAGAGAGCAAACACAAATGAAGTCATTATTTGGTCTTTGTCTTGGTCTGCGGTTCCCACACATAATAATTTCTTTTTTATTTGATTTTGATTATTTAATACTTGAAAATCTATAATCTTATAGATGAACTTGGCAAGGCGATCGTAAAAATGTATATATACATATATTTTATAATAAAGGAGAGGTGCAGGAGAAGCTAAGTCAGACGATATACAAAAGGGCTTCACTCAAAGTAATAAAAATATCAAGGACTTTATAATTGTGGGCATTTCCAGCTTATCGACAACGATCATTTCCAGATTTTAAAGGACTATATCAGCTAGTTTTCCAAGTGATAAATTTTCAATAACAAAATTACCCAGATAGAGTTGCATCTAAATTACTTTATAAGAAATTTAATGGTATATTTTAAAATTACATTGTTAGAAGCACGACATCTAAATTCCAGATAGAGTTACATCTAAATTGTATTTAAATTACAGCACAGATAGGAACGATGACATCAAGATAGATTATTAAATTCCATTGTTAATTATGTAAAATGATGACATCTAAATTGATACATTTCTTTTTATTGACTTCACAAAGCAGAATTGATTAACAGTGTATTTGTAAAATTCAATCTTTTACATAAAATCGTCAAACTTTTAATGTCATTGGTGAAAAGCTTATTTCCAGCCTTAAAAGCTTTTATTAACCACATAGACTTGAGCTTGTTTTCCTGGTATAATAAACTCTTAAGATAAATCATACAGGCATCTTTCTCCAAATCTCTATTAAAGAAAGAAATCATAACATTCACTTATTTGCACAAGATAAAATTCTTCTACAGCTATGATTTGCTTAAGATAAAATTCTTCTACAGCTATGATGCCCACATCTTTTACAGAAATTCCAGCTATGATGCCCACATCTTTTACAGAAATTCACCCAATGAAGGCATTGTTGCCGCATCAATTAACTCCGTCATCATGGCAGTGTAGGATTTTCTATTCCGTGGAGCAAAGAAATTCTGCAATTGATAACAATGTATTAGAGAAAACTTGAAACCACCCCAAACAACATATGAAATCGAACAAATCACCATTAAATTTGAACCTGTGTTAGGTTTGAACCTGTGTTAGGAAATTAGGAAGTGAGCACATGGGCGGATGACACTGTGATGTTTCGAGTTCTTCGGTTGTTGACACATTTTTTTGTTTTCCTGTGTATAAAGTGTTTATGGGTGAAAACTAATGGTTTGTTGAAACATATGAAAAGGGATTAGAGTTATAAAATACACCTTTTGATTTTTTATTTTTTTCCCAATACCCTTTTAGTTTGGCATATTAGATATACCTTTCGGGCGCATTTTGGTAGGATCATTCAGATTTAATTCATTGTTGACAGGTTCTTTATTTTTCTTTTGTTCGCTCCTACCTCTATAACCTTTACCAACCAGTATGCATCAATATACAATGACAGTTTCTTCATTGACTCCCTCATGCGCTGCTCAGCTTCTGGATTTTCCTTTGCTTTTTGGGTGCACTGATAAGCTGTTTTCTGCATGTGTGCTTGGAAAATTAGGTCGGTCGCCTTTAATATCATGTGAGGATTGTGAGTGTTGCAGATGCATGTACCCATAACTATTATACACATCTCTTTTGCATTTTCAGATCATCTCAATAATAAATATTTAACAGGTATCTTCTTATATCTTCTTAATATGTAGTTTAGGACTCTAAGAGAGTGTGAACATATTAGACTCATCATTTCGAACTTCCTGCAGCTGCACTTTATATCCAAACTCGAACTGTTGAAGTGAACAACCCAAGTAGTGTTGAACATGTGATCATCCAAATTCTTAATGAAAAACTCATTCTCATTGTTTGTAGAGGCATGTAATTGAAGACCACAGGACCCGTGTATAAATTCTTCCTCAAACATTGTGTACAGCTTCCTTGAGTAAAATGCAGTTGTCTGCCTCATATTGGGCTGTCTTCGCGACAGGAGTAATCATAGATTGATCACATTTGAAATTCTTGCCTTTTTCATTTGACCTCCATGTTCTCATTACATTTTCAATGCCCAAGAAATAATATGTAATAGAACTTTTAGGTTTTGAGACATCATGTCATATGTTATTAGTTGACTCACTCCTCTGTGTCGATAAAATTCTCGTTCCAAATACATCTTTATTAAAAACTATAGACCACTTATGTCTAATCTTGTATATATTATCTAACCAAATATTGTCCTAGAGATTACCTGTCTCAATTATCACCCTCCATGTATCATCAAATTCCTCTTCAGACTCGCATTTGTTCAAGCATTTATAAAAAAAATTACTGACAATCCTATTTCGTACGCTGCAATGAACCTTTATAGGCAATTTCTTGTATATGTGTCACTGGCATAATCTATGTCATGTATTTGGCAAAATTTCTGCTATTGCTAAAGTCATAGCCTGATCCTGATCAGTGTAGATTGTTATTGAATGATTATCACCCATGATACGCATGATGGTTTTAAAAAGCCATTTGAACGAGTCTGTCGTCTCCTCCGACAAGAATCCGACTCCAAATAAAACATTTTGACAATTCATTTTAACACCAACAATAGGAGCACAACATACGTTATATTTATTTAACCTATAGCTCGTATCAAATATAATCACATCTCCAAAGCAGTCATAATCAAGTCTGGATGTCCCGTCGCTCCAAAAAAAGTTCATCAGTCTGTCGCTCATATCAGTTTCAAAATCTCATTCAAACATGTTATCCTCAGCATGTCTCTCTGCAAACAACTGCAATAAAGCATTCGCATCACCATTTTCAATACCATTTTTAATTCTACATCTCCTCTCCTTCTGAATGAAATCGAAAGCATTTGTCTTTGTGCATTTCAGGTTCTTTACACCCCCAACTTCTTGGGTTAGGAAGTTAAAAGCGTCTTTTGGTCTAATCCCAGATTGTGTCATGGATCTAAGCACATTTGCATTTACTTCACTTATCTTTCTGATGGAACGCAATAAGTGTTTGTCACCGGGGTTCACTAATGAGTGGTTATGCGATTCAATTAATTTTTTAACTGCCCAATTGCCTTCCTCATCAACTTCGTATCGGATCATTGCAGGACAACCAATTTTTGTTTCTGTTCTACTATATTTAACAATTTCTGTAATCTTGAGCTCTTTCTTAAAACTTGTTTTTCCACATACAAAGTCCTTCATCTTGATATTTCTAGAGTTAGGCCAAAACGTAGCGTGCTCCTTACGAACACTGAATCCAATATGATGAGGGTAAGCACAATGTACTTCATATGCTTCTTTCTCATTGTGGACCATCGTTTAAAGTAATATGTTTTTTGTTTGCTCGGTACAACTAGCTTTGCTCTCACCAAACTGCACACATAAGAGAATAAAATGTTAGGCTCAATAGACAGCTTAAAAAATATCCCTAAACTTCATAATGCCACCTCAAAAAAAAGACCTAAAATCATATACCTCTAAAAAACTCACGCCACCAAATACTTTTATATTGTTAATTATCTACAAACACACGCCTCCAAAAACTTGAGTCTAATGAAGGATATATTAATTACTCCAATATTTACTTCACTGTTTTTATTAGACATAATATCATGCAACTATGCAAACATAACACAACATACATACAAAAAACAGATATATCCTAAATACAAGAAAATCATAACAGCAAAGAACATAAAAGAAAACCCTAAACTAATTATTATAATAACACATCTCCAAAAACATGCCACCATTTTAAATTTCACTTCTTCTGTCCTGTCAGGATAACGCTTATCTTCTCCTTCTGCGTCATGCACTGCGTCGAACATAAACTGACACTCTCTGTAGTCGTACTCCATCTTCAAGTTCAAGAGGTCCACCTGCCGGAAGCTGCCGCTGCAGGAGAGAATGGTCAGAGACAATGAAACAGTAAACCTAGCTGCTTAAATACCATGTTTCGTGCTCACCAATTTAAATCATGTACAGCGTAGTTACATTCAGGGTACACGCGCGGTTGCAACTGAAGGGGCATAATCCTCCGTTACATTACAGTTACAACATGGGTACAATCTCTAATATATGCGATTACAAGCGTTGTTCCACTATACAGGCTTGAAAGTCTGTTATATAACGGTTATAATCGAGTTACAGCGATAGTATAAAGCTACTTCCGTGGCGACGACGTTAAATTGAAGTTTCATTCACGTTACAAAAAAATTACTGTCGCGTTACATATTTCTTTACCGCGGAATGTATATCTGGGGTATATCACGATTACTACATTCCGGGGTATATCACGATTACAAACGTGTTACATGACTCTGTACCGCGGAAGGTATAGCTTGAGTATGCTCCGATTACAAGCACATTACATGGACTTGTACCGCGGAAGGTGCATGACTAGTATATCTCGGTCACAATCTCGTTACTGTAGGCTGACCGCGGGATATATAGGAAGGGTATATCGGAGTTACAGATCAAGGTACAAACGACTTACACCACAGGTCGGATAACAGGTCATGCGCGAATTTATTTCAATTTATTATATTTATTTAATGCAGTGGGCTAGCCGAAAATTATGTGGCGTCTTCTGATTGGATATCGCAGGCATCGTTGCGTGCTGTCTTAAGTAGGCAATTTTTTTCCCTTGCGAAGGGCCGAGTAAAACAGAAAGCTCAAATAGGCCATTTCAATCTTACAGTCAAAACTTCCCCTCTTTTAGCAATGGAACAAGAAATGCGAACAATAGAAGGATTAGTTAAAGATTTTGAAAGTAATTGTAAAGATCCTGGAGTCGAATCCGTCCAGATCCAATTTACGCATTATCGCTGAACACATCCAAAAACAAATAGCAACAACAACAACAAATTATAATGGAAGGGAAAGAAAAAACAAATTATAATGGAGGGGAAAGAGACGGCACTACCTTCATCTTCTTCGAGGTAAACGATCCGGCTCCCTTCTCTTGCTCCGGCGATGGCAATGGAAACGGCGTCGTTCTCGACCCCCATCGCAGGAGTGTTTATGCTTAATTTGAAACCCCTTCGCTCCTTACTCTCCAGCTCACATTCGGCGTTGACCTTCTCCCCATCCTCCTGGCTTAATTTGAAACCCCTTCGCTCCTTCCTCTCCATCTCACATTCGGCGTTGACCTTCTCCCCATCCTCCTGAACCTTCTCCTTCCTTTTTCTCTCGGAAAACCAAACCGACTCCATTTTCCTCCGCACCGTCTTCCTCGTTTCAAACTGCACTCCTTGGATTATTCTTGTTTAAAGCCTCTCGCTGTTTGGAGTACCCAAGTTGAGTGCGATATGGAAATCCAAATTTAATACATTTTAAATATATTAAAGTTTAAATTTTAATAATATTTTGACATATGAGAGAAACTTACATTATTTTTAATTATATTATTTGTAATTATAATATTTATTATTTATATACTATACTTATGATTTAAATTCCCATATTTGTTAAAAGTTTATTTTTTTCCCCTAATTTCGTCGGGGCATTTACATACATATCACTTAATTCTTATATATTTATATATCTAAAAGAAAAATACATAAGATAAAAATTTTAGGTGTTAGATATGTAAACTCATAAGAATTATATGGTATGTGCATAAATTTATCGAGTTTACATACATACCACACATCTCTTAAATATATACATGTCTTTCACATATATATCACATTAAAAATAATGATGCATGCCAAAGGACTATGGCAGTAGAGTGGCATCACACGCTTACAAAATTAATGAGAATTAAGCAGGAGGAGACAATTCAACTTTTACATAAAAAATCCTGAAAATGTGAAAAGCTCACGGGGTCTAGCCTAGTTAAAATAATCTACTATGAATAGAGAGTACATATGTGCACTCATCTTCTGAATTATGGAAGATTGAGTTATAAAGTTGACCATTGTAAATCTATAATTATAATTTACTAATAATAGTCGTTGTATAGTTGTAAGGAATGTAGTTCTTAGTAGATTGCAAGTCATAGTCGATTGCTAAGGAGACAGTTGTTCGCCATGAGTGTTGTAGACGGTGGTTGCAGTGTCAGCTTGTTATATAAGATGTAATTGAAAGTCATGGTAGTAGTTAGTCATGTGGGTTGCAGATAATTACTTCAAGAGCGTTGGTTGACCTCATTGATCGTAGTAGGATGTTGTAGAAGTTGTGAGCCATGTAGGTTGCATTTGGTCACACAAGGCATAGTGGTGAGCTACAATGACGTTTGTAGGCTACAGAGGCAGGAGTCAGGAGCTGCACGAGTTGTAAGTCATGTAAGACGTAATAGATCGCGTAGGTCACAGAGATGAGTTGGGACGACGTTTGCAAGGTGCAAAGGATGCAGTTGGGAGCTGCAATAGCTATGATAACATCTGTGGTTTCTAACACGACTCGCAATTACACAGTTATTTTGTTTCTTGGCCAAAAACTTGACCCAATTTCTTTAGGCAGCTAGCGTACAAAAATAGATATGTTATAGTGTTTAGAATTTGATATATAGTTCACACGCTATGGGTTCTACACAAATATACGTATTATTCAAGTAATATAAAGTTTTTTTTTAAACTCAGAGTATTGATCCCACAGACAAACAAGGTAATAAATCCCAAAGACTAGTTCTAGTCTACTATTATTAGTCCTAGTTTGGAAAGAATATTAGGGGTATTTTCTATCAACTACTCCTAAATAAAAACCTAAATCTAAAAGTTAATCTTAACAAAATAAATTAATTTTGTGAATTTTGAGGTGTAAACACTACATTTCTCTTGTTGTGATCTAGATAATGTATAGGAATATGATACTTAGAATCTAATTTGGGTAGTGACAATATGATCAAAAATCTATGTTGCCCTCTTTCGAGGGTATAACGTAGCTTGGTTAACCTAGGATTGATTCCTTAAAATACTAGATTGTCACGATAAAACTTCCAGCCTCTCATCCTAGAGTCTCCTTCTCCTAATAGCCCTCTAATTGGCTCAATCTTATATTTAAGGTACGAAGCCTTAGATCAAATTGGTAAGAATTTAGCATGTCACCCTAGAAACACCTACACTGAACAATGAATATCTCCCTAACATTGCATTGAATCTTAGGACTACTCTTCCTCACCCATAAGCTCAATGTGGTTCCTCCTAGTTTTTTAAATCATAGCCCTTTTGAGTCAAATTTTAACATTCAGATTGAATATGTAAATGAATCAACATACAATATGTGCAATGATCCACACGCAAAAAATGCCACGAATGGCCAAACATATACAATGCAACCCAAAAATGCTTAACCCAAAAACGCTTAATTGTACGTTGAACTCATCTTAAGGACCTCACATAGGTACCTAGGGTTGACTCTCTTGGTTCTGTGGCAAAGCTGCCTCCGACTTTGACATGGAAATGTGGAGGACTTCACCCTTCGATTCTAACAGGGGAAGTCTTTCACTGTTCGTAGGACAAACTAGCTATAGGGCCTTTTTCCATCTTACAAATGCCCACGATTTTTATAGGATGAGTTAGCTACAAAGCTTTTCTCATCCTTTTAGATCGACCTCTTCAACCCCTCCAAAGAAGGTTGGGAGCACCGAAGTCGTAGAAAACTGGGATTCCAACCCACTTGGTAAGGATCTAAGGCTCGAAAAGGGGAAACCACTAAGCTCTGAATAGGACTTGACCACACACGAAATTCTTAACCTTTGGCTACCTTTAGAAATTGATGGTCAAAACAAAATAGGAGTGTGGTTCGTGGCGACTAATGTTGGACAGCCATGCTCAACTCTTGTGGGTGGATGAACCCACACGCAAAACCTAGGTTAATCTTGGGTCGATTAGGAGTTAGGAAGTCTCACCACAATGAAGGTTGCATCATGTTTCTTCACGTTGGAAGCTCTCTTGTTGGTAGGAGAGAAGCCTACGTCCCGACGATGCTCAGGTGATCCTTCCCTGAGCTAGATAAAGCTCTCCTCATGCGTAGGAGAGTGGATGCATTGCTCCCAAGCTCCTCCTTAAGGAACCTCCCCACACCCTCACAAAATGTGGAAGAATATGGAGAAAATGAGAGAGAGGCAGAGAAGAGGAGAAAGAAGATGAAGCAAGGTAAGAGAAACCCCTCCTCCTTGCTCTTTCTTCAAAAGGCCTCTTCGATAGACCTTTGAATGCTCTCCCACAGCTTTCCCAAAAGCTCCTCAAGCTCCTTTAGCTCGCCAACGAAGAATGAGAGGGAGAGGGAGAGTGACCGACTCGACCGAGTTCGATAAGCATCAATAGAGAAAAATAAGGGTTCTCCCCATTTAAAACAGCTTGGCCTCCAAATGATCAAGATGCCATCATGAGAATGTCTAGGTAGCTTCTAGAGGAGGACAAAAGGGGCATTATATGCCCTATTTCCCATCCCAAGGCGAGCCTTTACAATTCCAGCAGCCTCGAGAGTCAAAACGGTGTCAAAAACATCTATTTTCTATCACCCGAGAAGTGACCGGCGCCTAGGTGCTTGCTCCCTGGTGCCACCCAGGTGGTGCCATACTTTCAGGCTCTCGTGTTAATGTTGATTTTTGTGTTTTTGGGTGCCTAAGCGCCTGTAATTGGCGCTTAGGCTCCCAAGCGCCAGGGACGTGGCACCAGACTTCCAACGTCTTGGGTTGGATGTCTCAGTAGGCATTTTGGGTGCCTAAGAAGGCGGGGCTGCCACTTAGGTGTCGGACTAGCCCCAACCCTGATTTTCAGTAGAAGTGCCCAATAGAGGATTTTTTTTATCAGTGAGCTATGAGGGACTATGAATGAGTGAAATGTAGTCCCATAACTTTGAAATTAAGTGTTTTGATCGAGCATCCACTGGGGAAAATCGTTGCCAACAGTCGTCCTAAACCACGACGCGGGTAGGGTGGCTTAAACTCAAACTTTTCGATAGCGCGCGTTGGAGGATTTTGTGATCTTCTTCAACTATGGGAGGCTTCATACTGACGTGCGGTGACTTCTGAACATCAGAATAAGCATTGAATATGTCCCACGTTTTGAATGAACCTCCTTGAAGACAGGTTTTCCCGAGTACGGCTAAATCGTCGCCAACCTACCTTATTGCCCTGAACAAGCGCTAGAGAGGCTCAGGTGGGTGACTTGAGCTACTAAATGTACAGACAAACCGTAGACCATCTCAAATCTTTTAGGTGAACACCTAACACTCGTGACACCAAAAATGAAGCCTGCACTGGGCTTGATGTGATTCTCATAGACCAATTTTGATATCATTAGGTTTCTCATTAAACGAGTCAGTTTGACTATCATTTTTTTCTTAAATTAGAGTTCTAGATGATTTTTAATTGAAGTTTGAATATTTCATATTCAAAAAGTTACATTGAGATAGTGTCAAATGATAAATTGATTGATGACCTATCAAATAACATTATTATTTATTTTCAAAATTAAAATAAATATATGAAAATTTTACATAACTACCATATCTTAGTGATACATGAATAGGTGTATTTTAACTTTTGAAAAATTAAAATGATAATAATTTTTATATGATATAAATGATTTGGACACTATAAATATAAGAAATAAAATTTAGGCGTGAGACCTTTTAAGAATTTGTTGTTATTTATGGGGACACCCTTAAGTTATTTCATGCATTAAGTTGAGATATGTAAATAAATAATTAAATAAGAGACTTTATTTATTACATTTATCAATTTTATTTTAAACACGGTAGGACGACCAGGTCGATAATACAGAACCTAAAAAAATGGAGCTTCCTCTGCTGCCTTTTCTCTTCTTCTCCCTCTCAGGAGTCATCGTCTTCTTCCTCTTCTCCTCCTTCAGTCACTCCAAGCTCCCTCCTGGCCCGCCGGCAGCTCCTATAATCGGAAACCTATTCTGGTTCCGCCGGTCTTTCAATCTCCAACATCTAGACTCCCTACTCCACGATCTTCGAGCCCGATACGGCCCCATCGTCACCCTTCGCATCGGTTCCGTTCCGGTAATCTTTGTCACCGATGCTTCTCTTGCCCACAAGGCTCTTATCGAGCATGGAGCCACTTTCTCAGGTCGCCCCACGCCTCTCCCAGCCGCTCGCTTCCTCTCAAGCAACC